GGGCGCGGCGAACGGCTGCACCGGGGGCTGCGGGGACGGCGGCGCCGCCGCGCGGGGCTCTGCTGTTCCACGAGGGCTAGCGCGGAATTTAGCAAAAAAAGGAAGGCAAAATGGGGAGAAAAAGCTTGGAAAAACCTTCCTGAAGGAGCCCAAGGCCAGCAGGCCAAATCCCTACGCTAAGGCGAGCACGATGGCGCGCGCACGCGGAGGCCGGCTGGGTTTGTGCTGTGTCAACCACGCGGCTCCGGCTCCAACGCTGCAATTCCAGGCGTGGGATCCTGGCGCAGCCGGAGGCATCGCGGGGTCCTTGCGACGCAGGGCAGGAGGCCGAGGCAGGAGCCAGGTTTAAGGGCTCGGCCTCTGGCTCCCATCGTTGATTCCCAGAAAAAAGAAGGAGCCCCCTAAAAGCTGCATCGCTCCCTGGCCGCGGGGAGGAGAGGGGAAGGCCGCTCCCAGGAGCAGGAGCGAACGCAAAGGGCAGGAAGTGCGGGATGGCGGAGGGCAGCGTGCGCAGGGCTGCTCCGATCCAACCCCCCGCGCGGCTCCGGCCCTGCCGGATCCGGGAATGTCCCTGCGTGGGAAGGAGGAAGCGCCGTGGAGCCCTGCGGACAAACACGAAGGAGCCAGAGGAACAGGAGGGAACCCTCGGAGAAGCTCCCACCTTCTCCTGCCACGGAGGCCGCTCCAGGCCCTGTTTCGGATCCGGCACCGCTGCGGCCGGCGCTCCGACGGCTCCGGCCGCGCTCCCGCGTCCCGCTGCCGCGTGACGGATGGCGGGATGAAAAGCAGAGCCCCGAGGCTCGGAGGCGAGCGGAGATTAATGACGACACGGCCTTGACCTCCCAAGGTAGAGGCTAGGAAACACTCAAGGGTAACGGGGCTTCCAATTTCATGCCCGGGAGGTGAACGACGGCAACCGGCGGTTTCAATCTCCCAACCGCTTCGATCCTGGACGCCCAGCTGCCGTCCGGCATCGCTCCCAAACGCATCCCGACGTGGCATCCCTGCTCCTGGCTCTTCCTCCTCGCG